TTCAGTTTTTCTTGTTTAAAGTGAAAAAAATAAAGACCTGCTTTTGGGACCATTTAAAAAAATATACCATGCGTGGAGTCACGGTGGATTAATAGATTGAGGAATCGGAGTGCCGAGTTCGAATTCTAGTCAAATCCATTACATTCCCTTACGTGCTAATATTCTTAGGAAAGGTATAAATCCTCTTGTTCTCTCCCCACACCCAGTTATAGGTAAAGAGAAGGACAGACCGGGTTCTATACCTTAGGATGGCAACTGGTTTAACGCAGAAAGAAATGGCAACCAACTGCGGGAAAAGATCTCGTTCGTCAGTTATATATCGATATATATGTGTGTGTGTGTTTGTGTGTGTGTTTGTGTGTGTGTGTTTGTGTGTGTGTGTGTGATAGCATGATCGCCTAAGCGTGTATCACGTATGGCACATAACTGACATACCAGGCGTGGTCTCAATCTTTTGAACAGTAATATATATATATATATATATATATATATATATATATATATATATATATATATATATATATATAATTATATATTAAAAAAGGCTTAAACACTAATATTCCATGATCATAATTTATTACATTGGAATCGCAATTACGATCCAATTCATCAGACCTACAAATTCAAATTTATATATACAGTAACGTCCAAAACTAAGGGACAAAATTTTAAAACCTAATATTTGTTAGAAATAACAACTGTGAAAAGCTGAAATTTTGACAACTGGTAGTCGTTATCATCCATAATATCAGACTAAAATTTGAATCATTTGCAAAGGATAGAAAAATAATTATAACAATTATTTATTTATTTTCAATATAAGATCGTCCAAAAGTAAGGGACAAAATTGAGAAAAACAATGTAAACAGTATGCTATATTCAAATTTTTTGATTTCCTCTAAAGAATAAGTCTTACTTAGTCATTTGTAAACGTTGCATCAGCCGGCATCATGGCGAAACGCCAAAAACTTGATTACTTCTGTGAGACAAGTTATTGTGAAGCTACACAAGGAAAAGTACACCATTAGAGAGATTTCAGAGAAAGTGAAACGTTCCAAGAGTGTTGTAGGCAGGGTTGTTAAATCCTACAATGATACTGGCAAAATAAATAGTTAGTGCTTTTAAAACCGGCAGACCCGCAAAACTTCGGCAAGAGAAGATCGAATAATGCAGCGTATGTCATTAAAGGACCGTTTTAAGTTTTGCACAGAAATTAAAGGGTTATGAATAGTACCTTGTTATATTAATGTGTCAAGACAGACTGTTTTTAGACGACTGCAAGAAATAGGGGCTGTTTAATCGAACCCCAGGGAAGAAACCACTTGTTAGTTCGAAGAATAAGAAGAGATTAGAGTTTGCAAACAGGTATGTAATTTGGACATATGAAAATTGGGCAAAAGTATTTTCAGTGATGAAAGCAAGTTTAATTTATTTGAAATGATGGAAAACAATGTAAAGAGACGTATTGGTGAAAAGATAAGTGCAAAAGTGTACTAAGAAAACTGTCAAGTTTGGGGGCTGAAGCGTCATGGTATTTGGAATGTTTTCTAGCCAAGGTACAACGCCTCTTGTTCGGTTACAAACTCGTGTAAACGCGCAGATCTATAAAAACATTGTTCAAGATCATGTTGCTAATCATACAGAATTCAGGTTTCGATAGGGCTACCTTTATGCAAGATAATGCCCCCATGTCACAAGGCAAAGGTGGTAATGAGTTACTTTAGGGAGCAAGATTTGGAAATTATGGATTGGCCACCGCAAAGTCCTGACTTAAATCCAATAGAAAATCTTTTGGAAGACCTTAGGGAGGGAAAGTTATGGAAGAAATCCCACTAACACGGAGGATTGCAGTGAAGCTTCAAAAGAAAGAATGGTCTAAAAATTAGTATCGAGGATTGTCAGAAGTGATTCGTTCTTGTAGTCGAAGATGTTCAGCTGTCATAGAGAGCAAGGGCTCATTTACTAAATATTGATTGTACATGTATTTTTATTGTTTTTTTTTGCTGTTTACATTGTTTTTTCTCAATTTTGTCCCTTACTTTTTGGACGTTCCAAATTTGAAAAATAAATAAATAATTGTTATAATTATTTTTATCCTTTGCAAATGATTCAAATTTTAGTATGTTATTATGGATGATAACGACTACCACTTTTCAAAATTTCAACTTTTCACAGTTGTTATTTCTAACAAATATTAGGTTTTAAAAATTTTATCCTATTTAGTTTTGGATGCTACATACATATTATCCTATACTGTCGATATGGGACAAATATATATATATATATATATATATATATATATATATATATATATATATATATATATATATATATATATATATATATATATATATATATATATATATATATGTATATAAATTTAGACATTATATATATATATATATATATATATATATATATATATATATATATATATATATAAATATAGACATTAAAAATAAACACACATATATATATAAAATCTAGATATTATATATATATATATATATATATATATATATATGAAAAGTGTATAAATATAAATAAATATATATATGTATAATTATTTATATATTATATGGTACTTATTAGGAAAGCACTCAATATCAGAGATAGAGCTAATATATTTGGTTGGATAGATGTGAGATTTTACCCTGGGTTGCACTCTTTAGCGATCGTCAGACAATCGCTAAAGCGTGAAACCTAGGGTCACAAACTCACATCTATCCAACCAAAACAACCAAAAATATATATATATATATATATATATATATATATATATATATATATATATATATAAAGCATAGAGTTGAATTTAGAACAGGAAACAGTTGCAATAAAAGTGCTCAATAAATTTTTAAAAAAAATTAACATGGAGAGCTTTTAAATTAAAAAAAAAAAATGTAGGTGATCAGCCAATCACGTAATATTGGTTTCAACCTTAGGCCCTTTTGGAGGCCTGATGATACAAAAAAAGATTGCCTTGATTTTTCTACCTTATAATATATCTCCGCCGTTATATTTATATATGTTTTACACCTGATTTCGAAACAATTTATCCGATAAATATAGAATACTTAAAAACTATATATATATATATATATATATATATTTATATATATATATATATATATATATATATATTGAGAGAGAGAGATAAATGACTATATTTTTTCTTTTCGCTATATATATATATATATATATATATATATATATATATATATATATATATGTGTGTGTGTGTGTGGGTGACGTGTGTTGTGGTATTTTGGATGTCGGTTCGAATGAGAATCGAGAGAGTTAAGTTCGAATTTCTTAGTCGCAGAATAACCCAGGGAATGGTATGAATCCATTCCTACTTCCTTCCTTGAATAGCAAGTGTGACTGGTAATCAGTCTACCGCAGGAAGAAATGACAATCTACTACAGGAAAAAGATTCTGCTTAATCAGTCATGGATCTGAAGAGATATGATCACCCAAACTTGTATCATGGATGATATGCCACACAACAGAATGATAGAAACAGTATGCGATCGATAAATTGTCGTCCAAATTATCCGAAAATGAATATGACACTGACATCTCATTTTAACAGATATATTTACCAAACACACAAAAATATCTTGAAATACTTACGAGAACATTTATTCAATAAAATCGCCATTTCCTTCAATCAGGGCCTCCAGACGACTTCGGAATCTCCTGCATCTCTTCTGCATGGTCTCCTTGTTTAAGTTGGTGAATGCAGCCATAATATTTGCCTGCAGTTCATCTTTGGTGCTACAGGGCGTTTTTTTGGTTACTCGCATAACTGCGCCCCACACATAAAAATCACGGGGTTTACAGTCTTGAAATTTAGGTGGTCAGATATATTAGGTGATGTGGGAGCAGAAATTGTCTGGTAGCCATAATTGGGTCCTCCTGCTTGTGTGCCAGGGTACATAGTCATGTTACCATACATCGGATTTTTCAACAGCCACACTCTTGACCCAGGGCAGCACAACCTCCTCAAGCTACTTGATGTAGGCGTCCATGTTAAATTTGAGGCCCTCACCTACAAATTCGGGAAGTTCTTTTCTTAGAAATATCAGAGCGAGTTTTCCGGGCTCTCGTACCTTCGTAATCACCTTTCCGAATCATCTGCACTATCCCTAGTTTCACAACGAAACACTCGGAAATGTTCGTAGTTAATTTTTCGGCGCGAATATTAAGCTGTGCAGTATGCCATTCATAAAATTCTAGCGGAGCGAATTGCGTCATTTTGCCCTTTTTTTTTGCCCAGCTGACTATACTATACTGTACAGTTGAAAAATCAAAAAACAATCATGGCGCATGCGTAAATCTAAAAAAAATAAAATGGCACAATTTACCCATCGTACCCTATATATTGCTTAAAGTTTAATATCATTTAATATCAGCAAGATTTAAACAATAGTTATTAATATCGATTTGATATGATTTAATGTAAAGTGTCGCCTAGATTTATAATATTTACTGTTAGAGTTGGAGAAAATGATTATATTTTCGCATAAAACTTGAGGTTAATCGGCTAGGTACAAAGCAGATGTTATGGATGGTTGTTACTTTTAAAAATTCCGTTTGTATATATTGACATTATGGCGCTCAGTATGTTTTGATGACGTCACCCAGTAACCAATAAGCAGGCATTTTTTCCCCGAGTAGAATGATTCAATCCAATTTGAAATACACACACACGCACACATACCCAGACACACACACACAGACGCAGATACACCCAGAGACACACGTGATGTCCTGGAGCAAAAAGAGATTCCAGGAATTTTACTTACGTCGTTCTCTACTAAATCAAAGCTGTAGAACGGTATTTCCGAGCCAATGACCTGGAAGATCTTTCAGTAAATATTACTTTGGACAGGTGAACTGAAGCATGACTTTCAATAACAAAAAGAGTATTTTTTTTCTTTAATTGAAAGAAAAAAAAACAATAGGATAGAAATAGATAGATTCAAAAGGGAAACGAATAGATAGATAGATAGATAGATAGATAGATAGATAGATAGATAGATAAAAAAGGAAAAGAAAAGAAACTTAAGTATTTTTGACGATTCCATGAAGCTCAACTCTCTGTCCTTCTTTGATTTATCTATAAATTCATATCAAAGAGGTAGCATTTAATGGAGAAGGCAAAATTTATTAAAGCCTTGAATACTCTTCCTGAAACTACATTATAGAACAGTTAAAGATTTTTGTAAAAATGATTACTTTTTTTAAATTGGTGGCTCATTTTATTGTATTATAGGAACATCATGGTAATGATGAAAACAAATGTTTCCATACAGGAAACATTGGACACTCATTTCTCGAACAGATAGCGTTAACTTTGTTTGAGATTTATAAAATCGTTTTCTTAAAAACGCCTTCAGGAAAATATATTTCTCTAGTTCGCTGATGGGTTTCATTCTCCTGTTGATGATTTGCTTCTTTGTTACAGTTTAGTTGCCATCTTGATTATATCAGTATTTTCTCGTCTAATTAAATTCGCTACTTGATTTTGTTGGGAGTTTTCATGATGTGTTTTCTGTTATTTGGGAATGCACTTTGTGATTCTTTAGCGTTTATAAGATGCATTTGCTAAAAAGCAATTTGTAGTCATTGATCTGAAAAAAAAATGGTTTTATATTCATGACTATATATATTTTTGAACTAGTTGGACGTTAAAGTGATTTTCTAAGCGATGTCTCGCAAGACTGGAATTATGTGGCACGCAGTGAGGTTCAATATCGCTATTCAGTCGTAATCTGTCTAGCGACACAAGATTGCTAACCACTACGTACCCTATGACTTTCTAAGCATATCTTAGATGTAGCACAAGGGTCAAAAGTAAGGAGCATCTACTGAGGATCGAACTCATTAGTTAGTCATAATAGATCTAACGATACAAGCTTGCTAATCATTACACCACGTCCAAGTTACCTATGATTTTCTAAGCATAGCTTAGATGTGGTACAATGGCCGGAAGTGAGGCGGACTCAGTTATGATCGAAATCACTTCTTTGTTGTAATTAATGTAGCGGGATGAGCTTGTTGACATTTACACTGCGTTGAAATGCCCTGAGTTAGACACTATGCACGAATGGCCTCATTATGAGAGTCAAAATCTGATGAGTCTATTTAAGAATTTCTCTTGAGTTTTCATGTTAATATTTTGATTTTGAAGCATCTGTATCTGTTGGGCTACAGTATCCGTAGTGAAAACTAAACAGTGTTCAATCTCCTGTTCAGAAGTCGTGATAGCAGATCTATACACAGCTCTAGCTGAAGTATTTAGAACTTAATAATTCCAAATTTTGAATTTTTATAAAGAACTCAGTATCTATGTCATCATTATTTCCATTTCCAAGTACAAGCCACAGTTTCGCTTTACGAAAGGTTTACTTTCCGCCAATGTAGATTGTTCCGGAGTGAATGCTGTTTTTGTTGCTTTATAATCGCAAGAATTGCTGAACTCACGGTGCGTAATTCTTGCTGGATATTGCAGGTCGGACGATGCATTCTGCAGAAAAGGTATATGTTGTGATTTTATTTCATTTTTTATGTTTCTGCCATTACTAACTTTTTAAAACTATTAACCTTTATAATCGCAGTTATCGCCCCATAAGATTTCCGAAAAGAAATGTGGTACTAAATATTTTATGTATGACGTTTTCTCGCAAATTGCGTATTTACTTGTAATCAGCAAACACACACACACACACACACACACACACACACACACACACACACATATATATATATATATATATATATATAAATATATACATATATATATATATAAATATATACATATATATATATATATATATATATATACATATATATATATATATATACATACATATATATATATATATATATATACATATATATATATATATATATACATATATATATATATATATATACATATATATATATATATATATATATATATATATATATATATATATATATACATATATATATATATATATATATATATATATATCTTGAAAACTGAAAGATGCTGTTTTTAGCTTTTCATGAAAATAAAATTATTACCAGTGTGATTTGAAGTGTTTGATATTCTTTAATTAATAATAATTTTGCTCTGTCCTTTGACATAGTGCTATACTTGGATCTAGATTCCTCCTGGAAATTCCATATGGATTACCATATTCTATCATTACCAAATATAAATATATATATATATATATATATATATATATATATATATATATATAGGTTTTTAATAAAATAATGACAAACAAAAGAGTACTAATATAATCAGTACGATAAACGGCTGATTAAATATTAACCATAATGACAAGAATGAAGGACGGAGATAAATGTTTTATAATCTAATCTCACTGAGACGATCTCAAGATTCGTTTAGGATGCGTTAAAATTAACATGACATTTTTTGCCCCAGTTAACAAATTACTGGATGCCGTTTATGATTTCAACCGACAATTTGACCTTGTCGAACTGATCCGACTTACTATCAAGACGAGATTCGAAAGAATTTTAAACGTAGGAACAACTAAGTATATTTGAAATAATAATCAAAAGGGAATAATTAATAATTAAATTCTTAATACACTAAGTATCCATAATAAATAAATATTGCATTCATTTTACAAATAATCGAACACAATATCGCTAGACTTTAACAACATTCTGGTTCATATATATTTTCGACTCATTAACTCTTAGTATAGTACAATAAATTATTTAATTTACAAGAGAATTTTTCTATATAAATAAGTACATATCTATAAGCACTTTCCCAAACCCACACAAATTATTAAATAAAAGTTCAGAAATTATGTCAAAATGTCGGAATGAAAAGGTTTTTACTGTGTTAAATCCAAAACTAAAAACGAACAACTTAAGAATAACAGGTGCGGTAATCATGGATGCGCGGATCGGAATTGTAAATTGGAGAGCCGAGTTCTAATTTCAGTGAGGTTCGTTATATTCAATTACGTGTGAATAACTTTGAGAAAAGGTATGGATCTAACTCTTCTCCTCCCAAATATGGGTTAATTAGTAGGATTTGTATCAGTGAATCCCTATTATCTCCCAAACAATCACAATCTACAAAAAACTCATGGCACAGTGAATAAAGGGATTAGTCAGATCCGTTAACAGGGCCCAAAGTTTGTGAGTTCAATACCTGGGTAAGGCAGTGGAGAACATAGAGAGGTGAATTTTCAGGAGATAACTGATAACTGACATCCATCAAACATGGCACGTGGAACTAGAACAGTCTACCCCAGCGACTGAAATAAAGGTTTCAGTTCGACATTTCAATCACCTGAAGAAGGCCGGATCGTACAGCGGCCGAAACGTTGTGATAAATATGGCAACAAAGATGAGGACGATAGTCCGAACATTGTAAACTGTGTACATAGAACCTTGTCGCAGAAATATAGTGATACCGAAAATATATTTCTGGCTTTAGTTGACCTGCAGTAAATTGGTAAGCAGAAAATATAAATCAATTATTAAGGAAATGGATATCTTGAAGACATCACCAAGAAAAAGCAAATACAGGCCTTACTTGACTTGACTTGTATCGGTTTTCACCCTGGTCGGGTTGAACCGGCTTCCTTCCGAGCAAGTACAGCATCACGGACTATCGCTGCCCAAGATCGCCGATCCTCAGGAAATGCAGACCTTAAATCTGATGTTAATAACATAATATACTTTAAACAGGTTTGTTTATCGTCCGGTTCACACCCCTGTCTGATCATTTGAACATGTCTAGAGGTTAATCCCTTACTTCCTGTTTCGAATTGTGTTTCCGGTTACTTCTAATGTGTCTAATTCATATCTAAACTCCTTACGACTCCACCTGAAAGCTGAAATTTTATTCGTTAATTAAAACTTGACATTTTCAAGTCTAGAATTAGCTTTCTATGTTTCCTGTTATCTTGCTCTGCTGTCTTATGCTAATACAACTCCACAGAGTAACCCTCTACCTTGAGTGGCGTCTGGGCCTTGCATTGGTTGAACATTAGTAAAAATAACGAAGAAAAACATAAATAAAAAAAATACATAGATGAAGTAATGAAATGAATATTTAAAAAAAATATGTACGGACGCATTTTAGCAATAACTATCAGTAGAGCCCGACGTTGCCCGGAGATGTAACAGTAAGAGATATATCAAGTATTGACCATCATAAAGACTGAAAAATAAAATTGACAAAGATTATTGTTTAAGGTTGACAGACACGTATGTCTTAATTAGTTTTTTTTTTTTTTACGAATTGTTTTCAATCGTTATGAGTCTACCAATTGAATAGAATTTTATTATAAACAATTGTCTTGTAAATGGAATTTTTAAAGCATTTTGAATATAAAAATAAAGAAAAGTGTGCAAGACAATAAGAAACACCACATGCCAAAAAGTGAATTTTTTGTTGAAATCGGTTGAAAATGTAAAAATCCGATCCCATATATAAACGAACACACACACACACACACACACACACACACACACACACACACACACACACAAACCTGGGTTTTATAATAAGTATAACTCTGGATATGAGTTGTCCCTATTTCATTCTCGCGATGCCTTTTAATCGTGTTTTCAAATTGAATTTGTGCAAAACAATTTGCATTTCCAATTTTGCCGGTCAAACCACCGCAAGGTAATTTTACGGCGTAATCCTGTAAGTTTTGTTGAAAAGGCTTGAAAAAATGTAGGAAATCGATCCAATATATAAAACGAACAGACACACACGCATACACACAACCTGGGTTTTATAATAAGGATGATACTAGTAGTAAAAAATTAATGACTGAATAAGAAAAATATCCTAAAGTAATTAATTATACATAATGAATGTTTGAAAAAGTAAGAAACATCCTTATGAAATAGATATCAAATAATATTTTCTACTATAATTCCCTCTGTTTAGTAACATCGGAAGCAATTTAAAATAATAGTTCTAAACTATTCAATAGCCATTAGAATAACACTATAAACCGTAAATACCTGACCTCTCTAGCCATAAAACCTAAATGAATATCATATATAAATAGTAAACTTACTACCC